TTTATTATAATTTTATACCCTCATTATCTATTTTATATGAATAAATATACCACTAATAATTGTTTTTATCTTTTAATTGCAGATTAATGAAGAATAAATCTCAACTTCCCATCTCTCAACAAAAACCTATTGATTAAATGAAGAAATGATTCAAGAAGCCAAAGTGAAATTTTCGAATTTAGCAAAAAGATTACACAAGGGAAACAAGACCGGATGCAAACAAGATTGGATTTTTATGCAAAGTTGGAATGATTGGTTTTTTTTTTGCAAAGATGACCGGATGCTTTGTATGGGCCAATTATCATTGCTGCAGCATTTTTATTTTCAAAATCAAATGGGCCAAGATGCTTGAATGGGCCGGTTGCTTCTTTGTATCACAAAAAAAAGAAAAGAAAAGAAATCAAATGGAAACCAAGGCTACAAAGTTCCAATGGGCCGGACTTGCTCAATCAAATGAAATTAGGGAAAATCAAACAAATGACATGGACTTGGGCTGCACATTTGAAAATCAAATGGAAAATGAAATGGACCGGATGTGATTTAATTTGGAAAATCAAATGAATTTTGGGCTAGAAAAGAACAAAAAGCAAATTCAATGGTGGAGATTGTTGCTTGGGGCTCAAGACAAATCCAATGGCTCATATTCATTGAAGATTACTATAAATAGGGGTAGAGAGTGAGGGGTTAGAGGTGTGAAAATTTTTGTAACTCCTTTTGGAGAGGAGGGCTACTCTTAATTGAGAAGGCCTTCCAAAATTGTAACTTTTTGTTGCAATTAATAATAATAATTTTTTCACCACTTTAAATTTTTCTCTTCTTCTCTTTGTTGGATGATGAAGATGAAGATGAAGATGGAGAATTATTTGAAGGTTTGCATTTCTTTTCTTTTTCTCTTTTATTGCTTATTATGTAGATTTATTTTTATGTTTGTAGTTTAGATTTTATTTTCTTGTTAAATAGCCAAGAGGCTAGAACCCTCTTGCTTTAGATTTATTTTATGCTTATAGAGTAGATTTATTTTCACGCATTTAATTCTTGCAATTTTATTTTGTAGTTTAGATTTTGCAATTTATTTTGTAGTTAGATTTTAATTTCTTACACTATTCACCTTGAGGCTAGAACCCTCTTGGGTTTAGTTTTTCTTTTTGTTTATTTTTATTTTGTTTGATTCGCCTTTAGGCTAGAACCCTCTAGGGAATCATCCTTTTCTAAGAAGTGGGTTCAATTTTAGATTATCCATATCTATAATTGAATCCACCATCTTTAATTTCTTGTATTTTCTTTTATTCTAGAATTTTGTTTTTCATTCTTGATTTTTTTTTATTCATTTCTCCTTCTCACCTTTTTGATCATACTCAAATCTACTCTCACTTACACTTTGCACCTATTCACACACCATTTTCATTCTCTCAATCTCTTCACAATCACATTCACTTATCACTCTTATTTGTCACGCACACGGAATAAGAACCGATTTTATATTTTCTCCTACAAAACACCTTCCTCGTGGGATCGATATCTTAAATACTATAACTTGACACGGTTGTGCACTTGCAACCTTTTTGGTACATGTTTATGCCGCATCACTTAGATAGTGAATAATGGGTCCCGGCTTGAGGATATATGTCTCAAAAGAATTGGCCTAGACGTAGTCGGGTGTCTGATTCATCTTGTCACTCTGGGCCCCATCCTTATTGGCCCAATGCCTTCCAGAAAATCTTGTTTCTGTAGCTTCTAAAATCATCGAAGCTTTTTATTCTTAGATTGCATTCTTCCTAGATTACAGATATCCTTCTCATTTCATTTAATCCAGAGGTCTTGAAGAATATGAAAAAAGCATGATGATTTTTATACAGTTGAAATCTAATAATTGGAACACCTGATTTTTTAAGTCAATAGTTTGTTTCTAAGCTTAGGCGGGCCAAAGAGAGAAGGCTATATCTTGAGCAAAAAACAAATCTAAGCTTGGGCCTGGGCCATAAAAGATTGTCTGAGGATTGCAATTGTGGGTGCCCAAGAACACCTCCATCAAAAGAAGGGTAAATTACACTTAAACACCCAAAGTTTTCCCAAATCGTACCAGAATATCCAAAGTTTAAAACCCCGCACTTAAATACCAAATTGCATTTAAATACCCAGTGCAATGCAAACATGAGAATTTCGCCCCAAAAATTCTCATATGACACTTGCATACTATTTTTAGAACATTTTAACACTTATTTTTTTTTTGTTAAATCTATTGTTAAACTGTTCAAAATCCTATTTTAAGGTAGAGTTAGAGTAGGTTTAAAGTAGGATGTGAGCCAATTTAACAATAGATTTATAAAGCTAAGGGTTAACATGTTCTAAAAATAGAAGTTGAATGCACCAACTACTCAAATCACAGGGATGACTGGATACTTAGTCCACGGTTCCTTGTACTCATCAAACCCTGAGAGGATCACGTTTGGATTTATCTGTGGACATAATCTCACATTGGAAATGATTGAAAAAACTAAAGAGACTTAAATAGAAATTTGGAACCAATTCCTAACTACTTAAGCTTTTATCTTAGTTTGGTTTCAATCCGATTGATCAACGATATCTTATCTTAACTCAATCAAGCAAAAGCAGCATCCTCACAGGAATACAATACCATAATTAATCGTTAAATAGAGAAGGAAAGATAATAGAGAAGTTATCAGACTTATTACATACACACAGGTACACAATACCATAGTTACTCGTTAAATAGAGAAGTTAACATACATATTACACACACACAGAATGAAGGAATGAATATAAAAAGGAAGCAAACACGTACATGACACTGACACAGGAAATATTCAAGCATAAGGAGTTATCCAATGACTATGAAACGCTTTCATCCCTTTATTACTTTTTCAAAGTTCCTTCTTCCTTCTTAGGTTCATCGACAGCAAGAAGATTGTTTCCAGCTGCAGCATTTTTGCATCCAATTTCTGTCTCAGACTTCTTGCTAATCCCAGCTGCATGCACATCAATCACATTTATTATAGGAGGTACAAAAGTATTCTCTTTAATATTGCTTTCTCCACCACCACCTCCTCCACCACCACCTCCTCCACCACCACCACCACCATCATCAGTGTCACTGTTGCTAGATTGTCCTTTCCAGCACACTATGCACTGAAAAAAGAATATCAACAGAAGAAATGATATCAGTTTGTTAACTGCAAATAGACCTCTTGTACTAGCTCCAGATTGAACTTATACTCCCTGTTGTTCTACTGTTGCAGATAGACCCTTTTTTTAAAAGCAGAGTAAGAGAAATTTGTTTTGGTGATCAATAGATCCCTGAGAATAAAAAAGTCAAAAAAAATTCACTCGGTTCTATCTTCAACAATAGAACTATAGGGGTAGTAAGTTCAATCTAGTGTAAGGGGTCTATCCACAATTAACCCTTTTTCTCTTGATACAATATCTTAGGTTTTTGGATAAAGTTGTTTACGATATGATGCCAAAATATCAAATTTTTTTGTTTAATTATATATATATATATATATA